AATTTATTGCATCTGTACATCCATTACATTTCATATTTTTAATGTCATTTTATTGTCATATTTTCCATTTTTATACGATTTTAGGTTAACACCATTAAATGCTACAATGTATTACATGTCACAAATATAGATTACTGATTTCAAGAGAAGTTAAAATTTACTGTATTACTATGATTGTTATTAGTGATACTTTGATCCAGTATTTATGGTATAGTGTCACATACACTGAATGTGTACTCATAATTAAACAAGTTAATAATCATTATTGAATATCCAGTAATACAATTTCATCACTGAATATAACAGGTAACAACTGCTAATGCTTGATTGAAACTTTCTAAATATTTTATGAAATTGATCTCTATTAGCTAAAATATTTTTCAAAATGTACTTTACTTGATAAAACACTCACTTCCCAGTGACGAAAAAATTAACATACATACATATTAATAATCCTTAGAAAAAACCCTTTAGCCAGGTATATATTTCATAGCAGCCATCCTTTGAATGCTTTTGTGAGGTAAACATTCAACTTGATTTGAAAAATATGTTACTTTTTAAAAAATTTTCTTTCCTCTCCTATCTCGATATATCTTCTACAACAGGGATTTTCAACCAATGGGGCTTCAGGGGGAAGCCTTTATTCATATGTTAAGTATTTAGTTTTAGTTCATGAATATCAAAATATACTTTTGTTCAAGTTTTGCACTTATCAACATTTTCTACACTTTTGTTGTTTAATTTATAAAACAAGTTGAAACATAGTCTGAATCTAAATAAATGCATATGCATTTTTCAAGAGTTGGAGAGAGGGGAAGGATTTTCTAGGAATGGCGAAAGAGATGCATGGGGCAGAATAGGTTGTTTTATTATTTTTAATACATATATGTCATAGTATTTATTATAATTAAAGCCATGCCTTTCAGATACTTTTATAATTGATGAATCAATGCAATATCCTTTTAATCTTCATTCAAAAAAACATTACCATCATAAATATTCATCTAAAATGTGTACGTAGGAAGTATTTTTGTGTTTTTTGTGAAAGGGAAGGAAAAAGAAAGTCCATAAAGTACTGTACTTCCTTTGTATTCTCAGATTAGTCATGCTACTGTAACATTTATGTTCTCAAAACCTGTGCACTATATTATCATTTTCCAGGTTACAACTTTAGTTTGACTAAAAAGAAAAATAAATTCACAAATGTTTTATTGCACAGAACTTATAAGTTCACAAAATGTTGAGTGGATACTAAAAATTAAGAAAAGTTGAAAACAGTAAAAATCATGCTATGCAACCAACTCCAGAAACCACCTGTTGGTGTTTAATGATCTTTTGCACATCTTGGTTCATAAAGACTGAACAAGTTTCACAAAGATTTAAGAATATTTGCATAGGCAGTTATATTCCTGCATTAGCTAATTCTGTTTCAAAGTCATCAGATATCATGTCAGTAAGAACTGCATGTTACAATTCAGAAATATTTAAGAAACACAATTAGGTATTTATCATGTTTCAAAATTAGCAAAGCTTTGCAATAAAAAAGAAATATTTTAAGTAAATAGCCAAGGGTTTCTTATTTCAACAATAATGCTTACTTACACGAATAAAGAAATAGCGGTACTGTTCTGTTATCAGGATCGAGTTCAGAAATGTATGTATGCATGTATGTGTTCATTGTATGCATAAGTACAAATATATGTGTGCATACAAATACACATAGAAGCACATAGTACATACCAACACACGTTCATACATTCTGAATCCAGTCCCTTGATAATAGAACAGTACCAAAATAACTGTTACTGCTTTTGCTCAGTATCCGAGGAAGCATATTCCTTGGATGTACGAATTGTAAATTTTACTTTTTAGCTAATAAATAAAGCTTTTCCTTCAGATTTTCAATTTTTCTTTTTCGGTTATAATTAAAAACAGATTTTAATAGCAGTAAACTGAAAATAAAAGAAGCGACGTACTGCTGTTTACAATAAAGTAAAAATAAAGCAGTAATTTGAAAATACAGAACTATGGATTTTTACTTGACTCTTAATCTATACAATCTCCTCATGGTAATGGTAAAAAGCATGGAAAAAAAAGGGGGAATGAGACTGTAAGCTGTCAAACTATTGGAGTTATAGAAAAGTATAGTTAGTTTTTTGCTATTGCGTGGGCCTTCAGCCCACTTCAGGATCAATATAGGGATCAAACCTCACTACTGCATCACGTAACAAATAATTCGTTTGGAAGTTTGGATCATTAGATATGTTTTGTATTTCCTGTTGCAAATCACAGTACAGATATTTATAGGACATTCAGTACGATTTGAGGTACATTATGAATGCAGGTGCTACCAGGATAAAAAAACATTTATCTTTTCTGCTAGGCTGATGACCACTACACATTTCAAGAGTAATATCAACATGGTAGTTACAGATATGGCACTGTTTGACTTTTGTTTTTATTTATCAGAGATTAGCAAATAAGGCATAGTTTAAAATTATTATACACACAGTGTAATTTCAAAAAATTAAATTAGTAATTATTAAAAAGACACACAAATTCTGTTTCAAATGACAATTATGTTTCAAAAGCAAAACAACGCGAGTTGCTTATTACGTGAGTAAATTACAACATGAGTAAATTATGAATACAACGTGAGTAAATTATGAATTCCGAGTCTCAGTTTGGCCATGCTTGATCTTTACATAAAGTATATGGCATATAATTAAAAAAATAACTTCTAAGAAACAGTATATTCTTAATTTGTTTTAAGAATATGTTCTGAAAATTATTAAGATTTTTGAAGTTTTAAAAAAAACACTTTTTTTCACTTTCATACGATGTATAAATTGCTATTTCAGTGTCAATGAAGTATCAGACTTTCAATACTCAACTACATAAATTTCTATCCATAAAAATTATTTTCTTACTTTTTCATCAGCAACTAATAACAGATTTTATTTTAGATATAAAAATGCACTCAGATATATCTGTTCTGCTTTACCACTCAGAAATAATACTTAAACGAATTTTGTGGCATGGGCTACACTTTCAGATCATTTTGAGTTTATTAACTTTCCTTAGAATATGGTCACTTTTATCTGGTTGCACGTGTAGTCTGCCTTTTATTTTGTTTGTTTATTATCTCTGTCTTTGAAATATATTGAACTCGCATTCTCTAGATTGGCCCACCAGCGGCCCAGCGGTAAAGTCGCTGAACACTGGCTGCATGGGTGTTTTTGTGGTTTTCCCCATGTGTAACGTGTATACGAGCCAGGTTCCCTTAGAAAGTCCTCCACGAAGGCATCCCTCCCCTTAGGCAGATAGCCCTAGTGTGATTTGCCATAATTAAATACACCAACACCATTCTCCACATTGATTACATATTCTTTATGAAAATAAATATTTAGACAAAATAATGCATAAGACAAATAACATTATATAACATTACAGAACGAATTCTAGAATGGCTACTCTGCGAAAGGCTATCAAATACTGCATTTTAAAGTAAATAATAGAAGCAGGCATCAATAGTAGTTATATGAGAACTGAATAATATGAGATTATAGTATAGTTAGTTATACGAGAATATCTGAAATAATATTTTCACAAGCATACACATAATGTTTCAATACTTGGGTTTTCAAAGCAGAAAAAGTTGTAAAATAATACACATTCAGAAATAAGTGTCAAAAGTAGCTAGTTATCTGATACATATGTAGATCATATGAGCAGGAATGTGATATATTAATACATATATAAAATCGCATCGAAAAGTAATTGCCCTGCGTTTTCGCAATAGACGCACATTAATGCTAATTTAGCAACATAACAGAACCAAATCAGCAATCAGATACTAAACAAATATAAACACATCTTAATCCCGTTTTTCCCCATGTATTATCTTTTCTCCTTAGCACCTATTCCCCACATGATATTTACTTCCGTTGGCATAATGAAATGTCGCCCATATTCTTAAAGGAGCCAAGTTGGCGCAACCAAGGCTGTTCTCCGAACATTATCCCTTTTATATTTTGCCACGAAAAGACTCGCATTTTTTTTTTTTTTTTTTTTTTTTTAGACATTTAATTCTAATTCCTTTAAGTTCCTCCTTAAAAATTTCATCAAAATGGATACAAATATCTCCTGTTGTCTACATTCAGATCAATTTAGATTTTAACGTGAAAAAGAACCAGAAAATTACACTCTTACGTGCATGTCGCAATTTTTTCATTTGATGCAATTAAGCATTATCTTTTTCATATATTTTCTGGCGCTAAAAAGGGCCCTTTTTTATGCTGGAAGCTTTACAAATTTACTTCGAGCTGGTGTACTTGGCGACAGCTTTAGTACTTTCCGCAACAGCATGTTTTGCCAAAGTACCAGGCCACAAAAATCGTACCGAAGCTTGAATTTCTCGGCTGGTAGTGGTGCCCTTCTTATTGTAATGAGCTAAACGACACGATTCTGCTGCAATTCTCTCAAAGATGTCGTTAATGAAGGAATTCGTGATGGACATTGCTTTACTGAAAATACCAGTGTCAGGATGAACATCCTTGAGAACTTTGTAGATGTAAATAGCGAAAGATTCCTTCCTGGGCTTTTCCCTCATTTTCTTGTCACCACGTGGAACGGCCTTCTGGGCCTTTCCGGCTTTCTTAATAGCTTTCCCAGATGCTAGAGCAGACATTTTCAAAATCTGTGAATGTTTTCGGCACGGCCGGCGCCTTTTTACACGATTTTACCATTTGGTAATCCTATCAGCACTTGATTTTGAGTATTTTTCCTGTTGGTCGAACGCAGACTTTTTGTCACGTGACGCACACTGAAAACCTACTATAAAACCGATATATATATAATTTTTTTCATATTCTGTTGATCTTCGGTCCTCTATTAGGTAGCTACAGAAATGTCGTGAAAAAGGCAAAGGCCTTGGTAAAGGGGGTGTGAAAAGGCATCGCAAGGTCCTGAGAGATAGTATCCAGGGCATCACCAAGCCAGCAATCAGGCGTTTGGCAAGACGAGGTGGAGTAAAGCATATTTCCTCATCTATGAGGAGACCTGAGGAGTACTTAAAGTTTTCATGAAAAATGTGATCCACGATGCTGTTACCTACACTGAGCATGCCAAGAGGAAAACTGTCACTGCTATGGATGTCTTTTATGCTTCGAAGAGACAGGGACACACTCTATATGGATTTGGTGGCTAAATCTCATTACCTTGCCCTCACCTCCCCGAAAAAAGGCCCTTTTCAGAGCCATACAAATTTTTAAAAAAGTTATGCCTTTATTATAAAACTAGCTTCGCTCACGCTGATGTCCTTAAAATAAGCTTCAACTCCGCATGAATTTTAAAAATACACTCCGCGTAAAACTTCAGTAAATAATTCCCTTATTCAATACCTAATAAGCAGCGGATAATTTTATATTTATGCCTGACCAAAGAGTTATTTTTTAAATAAAGAAAATTCGAGGGCCTTAAAATGATAAAACGATAGTTGTTATCGCACAGCAGTAAAGTCGCTGAACACTGGTAGTTCGGTCCGAGATTCGAATCCCGCGAGCGGGCTGGCTGCATGTGCGTTTTCGCGGTTTTTGCCATGTGTAACGTGTATACGAGCCAGTCTTCCTTAGAACGTCCTCCACGAAGGCATCTCTCCCCTTATGCAGATAGCCCTCGAGGCTTTTCCATAATCACACACTCACAAGTTAAGACCGTCACCAGCGGCTGGGCGGGAAAGTCGCTGAACGCTGGTAGTTCGGACAGAGGTTCAAATCCCGCCAAACGTTCGCTGCATGGATGTTTTCGTAGTTTTCCCCATATGTAAATAGTGATACGAGTATGAACACAATAGAATCGAAATCAGAACTGAATAATCTGAACTTAAAACCAGTTTGCGATATACACTGCCCTCCAAACGTTAAGGAAAAGCACGTCTAATTTAAAAATAAAGCAACATAGAAAAAAGAACATTGGAAGACATGTTCACTAAACAGTTATTTATTCAATGCGACAGAGAATTTTTCTAAAGAGAAAAAAAGTTAACTAATATATTAATGAAAGATTCCATTTCTACGTTCCCGCTATCTCTGTACTATATGTAATAAAATGTTGTAATTTTACAACTAACTTAAATTAATTATTAAAAAAATCACTCTAAATAAGCTGGAAATAAATGAGTTTTGAAAATTTTGAAGCTTTGATAGAAAATTTAGGAAATAGGACATAACTTGAGGAAAAAATAATCAAAATCTAATCTGTTTCTGATAATTATAAAAATTGTTCGAAGCATAAATAAAAATATAAATGTTTGTATATAAATCTTAAGTTCCACCGCAGGTCTTCGGTGTTATTATAAGCACGAAAGTACGTGCCATTTGTGTCAAGTGTTTGACGAATGAAAGGGTTTATTTTACCTATTTTCTGTGCTATTATTCCCGCCTGTGCGAGAAATGGCCAGGTTTCCTCGTAAGATCAGTTTACTTTATAATAGCGATGAAAGTCATATCTGACAATGGAACTTTCCAGTTATATTTTAGGGACAGCATGTGGAAATTCCATCGGAATATGCAAAGTAAATTTAAAGTACATAAGAGGAAAGAAGATCTTTTACAGTTTTTCGTCATTAGTAGATTCCAAGGCTTTCCTATTAGGCAGTCCTTCAATCGTATAGCAAAACAGAAACTGGCCTGAAAAAACTCAGTTGATATTTCATGAGACGAAATCGTTTATTAAATTTATAGTTCTTAATTAAAAACCGCACGAATTTCAGTGAAAGCATGCCGATCTAAACAAGCTTTGTGCTGTATATTGGAAATGAAGGGTAGCTGACAATATACAACAAAAACATTCCGGAGTGGAAGAAGAGGATTATTTATGAAAGGATATTTGCTCTGTTTAGGTTCATCACTATCTGTAACTATCCTTATGATGCTTAAAAGTAAGGAGAATTCTTTGCCCAAAAGAATTTCATGTCACCTTGTTGTCTTTTAGCAACTCCAGATACGCTTTAGATTGCTATCAGGAAATGATGATTCGGGACCTCGGTTATTATAGCATTTATTTGAAAGTGAAAACGTATGATTCAGCAATAATGCTCTTCGTTCGGTTAATGTTAATTTAAGTTATGAAATCTTAAATAATCGTAACTTAGAATTTTTGTTATTTAAAAAATATAGTTTAAAGTACTGAAAATAATTAAAGCTATTATTAATTATGCATATTTAGTCTAAAGAGAAGAAACTGTATTATCTTCTGGTTTCCAGGAAATGATAAAATATTTAAACTTTAGATAAATACAAGGAATACAAAATTTTAAAAAAGAAGAAAAATATATTAATTATTAAGCTTATTTTTCTGCATAAATCAATATGTAACACAATGACATAATAACGACATTTTCACAACTGTTGCAAAAAGGTGGAATTTGGCCAACATTTAGGCGTCTTTAAGACGTCGTGATATGATGCTTTCACAACCAAACTATCACCTGGGAAAGACGCAATAACGACGCCTATACGACAAAAACCTCATCTGAAAAGACGTAATAAAGGCGTCTTTGCAACGGTTGCAAAACAGTGGATGTTCGCGGACATCTGGGCGTCTTAAACACGACATATTGCAACGTTTTTGCAACGACATCCGCGATGAGTTTGCGACGTCGTCACGACGTTGCTGTGCTACTTGGGTAATTAAATCACAGGACTACTTGTAATCAGGTGGAAGGGCTGCTCCCCACAGCAAAATAAACAAACCTTAGTCAATCGATGAAAAGATACCGGGTGTTATGGCGTTTCGTTCACCTGCGAGGTGGACTTCTCTACCGCAGGTGGGAAGCTCGTGACTGAAGAATAAAGGGTAACTCATCTTACCATGATTTCCATTCCATAGCCTTCTGTCAGAATTTGATAGCAGCTGTTTTCCTAAGGCCAGAAGTGGAGGCTATTTTATTGTGAAGGCATTTAATAGGAGGCCACCATTGCCTCCTATGAAGAGACGATCATGCCTTCTCTGGGATTCGTACCTGGGCCCTTCGGTACCGCAGTCGACTCTGGACACTATCTACTTTAATAGAACACAGGACTCGGGATTTGCAAATGGTGTTTTCACTGATGGCTCTAAAACTCCAGGGGCACGGTAAGCGGATTCTGTAAACTTTCTGGAGGAGCTTTAACGTATGAGTGGAAAGGAAAGCTCGCTTCTGAAAACTCTGCCTTTCAGGCGGGGCTCATAGCAATCAGAGCAGCACTTCTCCACCCGAAGAATAATCCCACAGTGCCCAATATCATCTACACAGGCTCAGCCTCAAACCTCGCTGCGATAGCTGGAATTCGTTCTCGCCATCCTAGCGTCAGCAGCATTAGAGACATTCTAACACACATGCCTGCTTCGCAAAAACCCTCACTCATCTGGGTGCCCGCTCATACGGGAACAGAAGGAAATGAGAGAGCAGATGTTGTCGCAAAGGAAGCAGCGGATTCATCCACTTTTCGAGAAGTCCCGACCCTTAGGCGAGTCTCGGACCTAAAGAGTCGGACATTCCATCAGCTCCTAAGAATATGGTAAGAACGTTGGGATCAAGTCTCCACAGGGAGACGTGTTTACAATCTCATTCCCAAGGTCAAGACAACAATCCAAACTAATAGCAATTACATGACGTATTTCCTCACTGGTCATGGGCCCTTTCCTTCATACCTCTGCCGCTTTGGCTTGAGAGAGAATGGTAACTGTGGATGTGGGAAGGAGGGTCATCCAGATAATTTTGTGTTCTCCTGCCCACACACAGCACTTAACGGCCTCAAGCAACCAGGAGCCAGATTCTGGCCAAATTGGTTCCAGAATCTACAAAGTAACAGAGTTGCCCAGCTGAAACTGAAAACATAATTGAGTACTGTACTAGCAATTACTCTTCTGACGCTGGAAGATAGTAGTCATAAAAGTCTATATAAGCTAGTTCAATATGTCACCAACAGAGTATATGATATGTATGTTCAATATATAATTTTGTATTTATGCTGTGTCAGGTTCTCATACATAAATTTCGTACTGTATCTCAATACTGTAATGTATCTGTACATGTTTGTAAGTTTTATTTATGGTACCTAATTTATACTAAGGATCCCGCGTACCTCAATGGCATGTTTCTTGTAAACTTTAACTATCATGATAACGTATTTGTTTGGATGTATATATCAATATGAGTAAGAGTATGTATACTTTTATTTGTTTCGAAATATTATGTAAGTGTGTATATATATGTATATTAGTTGGTATTTATATGTATATACATATATTTTGATTGTACTCTTCTTCAAGTGCGTTGTATGCACATGTATATCTCTTTTTTTGCATTTTATAAATGCCGTCTGCTCAGTCGGGGCTGCCCAGGGCTGCGGCCTGGTAGCTAGTGGTTGACTCCCGCCGAGTTGGTAACCAATTCTGCATGGATATATCTATATCCTGGGTCGGAAGCCAACTCAGCGGTTTGCCTCCTCTAACCACTATATCATATGGGCGGCTGATGGTAGCTCTATAGAAGGTGAATTTGGTGTAATAAGGACATTACATAATATTTACAAACATTTCTTCTGGAACAACTCAACAAGCAGATGTAGAGAAGTGGTGTAAATACTATGCTTGCCAAACTAGTAAAGGCTTCCAGACACGTACACGAAGAAGATTGAGCACTGCAACGTCGAGTCACCATTTTAAAGGATGGCTCTGTATTCGCGGACATTTACCTATACAACCAAGGCTAACAAGAACATCCCTGTTGTCATGGACAATTTTAGTAAATGACCGGAAGCCTACATCATCACTGATCAATTAAATTCACGCGTTGCCAAATTCCTAGTAGAAAACTGGATTCAAGGTTTGGATATCTGTTCTTATTCACTCTGACAAAGGAAAAAAACTTCATATCTGCCTTATTTAAAGGAATATGTAGAATTTTTCATATGGAAATTCTTTAAACTAGAAAAAAATTATCATAATTTCTAATTAATGCAAATAATATTACGAGTTTCGTATATGACAATATTGAAGCCCGCAAATATTTTCTAGAACACGAATTCTACAAAACCCTCCGAATAATACCTCTTTTTTTTAAAAAAATACATTGATGAATTCGTTTCACAATAGCAAAGAACAACACAAAATGTTCTTAACACAAAAAACTTTTTTTTTAATCTGCTATATTATTTTAACTATATATAACTCTTCAGTTAGTGTACAATGCTGATTATGATTACCATCATTAAAACTAAATAAATCCGTCAATTTAGATCAAGCGAAAGTCACACGTTTTTCATTTTATTGCTTATAATAAGTAAAACATTTTCCTAAATGTAAGTGTAAAAGACCAGAGAAAAGTATAAAAATTTCAGTTTTGCAATTTTAATTTTTTTTTTTTATTTTTTTTAAGTTTAAAATGCTTAATACGAATATTTGCATCATTTAAAGCATTTTAATACTTGGAAATACATATCTACGACCAACGGTGGCGAAAAATATTTTAGGTAAAAAGTTTTGTGGACACTGTGTATTATGTGCAGCATATCATCATAACAGTGAAACACTTCTTAGCATTAAAACTAATTCCGCAGTAAAGCCACTAGGGATTGGACATAACACATTCAGCAGTTTGAATTTTGAGACGAATAAATAATAGTCAAGTTGTACAAACATAAGGAAATTTCAAACTTATCAAACTACCGGCTTACTCTTTTATGACATGAAGTTGGTGAAAAACATGAAAATGAGTTAAATATACTAGAACTAAATCTGAAAATTAAATGCTATCTGCTTTGTAATTGAATTTGGAAATCAAAATTGTAATAAAACAATGTTTGTAAAATTTGATAACTAAGATGCAAGATAGCTGTTAAAATCTATTATATTTCAAGTAAAATATTTTATTCCTTTAAGATTTTTTTATCTCTTCTAAAATCATGACTTTTGACATTGCAAATGTTCTACATTTAGTTTTTACATATATTAGATAACTCATCATTCAATGAAGAACATAATGTAAGTTCTGCTCTACTTCTATATTTATAATGAAGCTTATTCGATTGGAATTTTCATTTGAACTTCCCATTCGATGTAGTCCAAATCAACGAATAGTTTCCTTTCACGATAAACATCCCTACAATTTCTTCTGCAAGTAACAAGGTAGATTAAATATGCGTAGTTTTGTACCACATTATTAAATGCTCTTGATCTTGCATAAGTAATCTATCAGGACCTGAAGAAATAAAAAATAGAAATTCAAGCATGGCATATAAAAGATTTCACAATTGAATTACATGCATAGTTTGCTTTTAAAATTTAAATTACTGCTTCAAAAATGTATTTGAGTTTATGATACAGAGATAAAAAATGAGAATGATGAGAAACTTCAAAATTATTACTAATCAAATTTTAAGTACAAAATTCATGCATTGAATAGACGAAGTTATTAGATTATAATTTAATTCAACCAGTTATAGGTAGATAGATAGATAGATTTCAAACTTTACTATAACTTCCGCTTTTCCCACCAGAATGCGAATGAGTTAGAAAGCGTTTTAAGTCAGTTTCGAGTAATATTAAATAGTGCAGTCCTTGACTACTCTTCCACATTTAACTTAATTTTGACTGTTCAGCTTTGTTGAATCATCACGGCTTGTCGCTGATACTGTTCACACAAGAACGTGCGTTTGTATTCTAAATTCTGTTTAAATAAAACGGTTGTTTAATTTTTCTAAAGACTGTAATTACTCGAGATGCAGCGACAATTTGGACTAACTACCAGTTCCATAAAATTTAAAAGAGGAGTCTGAGCAAATTACTGATCATGTCGCAAGACAAAGCAGCATTTAATCTAAGACACAATAACACGCCGAACAAATACTAATTCAGAAGTCAAACAACAAAAATCAGCGAATCATTTGCGCTTTTGCAGCTGAGGATGGTGGTTCGGTAAAACCATCGAAACTAGACCTGTGACAGTTTGAAAATATAACGCTGATTTTTGTTGTTTGACTTCTGAATCAGCATTTAATCTGTCCTTCCTCCCAGGATTACAGCCTTCACCGGCACCAGGAAATCCAATGGAAGGCTTCGTGTTCATTGTAGATATGATGCAAGAGCACATGGAAACAATAACTATTGTTACGTTTTTCTATTCTTCTGACACCAGTTGTTACGTTATTTTCTTCCTTCACGTTCGTACGGAGTTCGTGTGGATTTGGCGTGAATAATGATGACATTGGATGAAGTATCGAAACACACTTTATTTAGCCAATACTGATCAGGACAGCTCCAAAGTCACGTTTTACAGTCTTCGAAGATCTACTATAAGCACGCTGACACGATCAGCGGACACAGCCTCCAGATTATCAGGCTATCACGGTGGAGACGGCTTCACGGCAAAGCATTTGAGTACCGCTCGCAACCCTGCTCAGTCGTTCTCGGAACTCCGCGTACTCTGGAGACTCTCCACGGAACAATTCGCGATGCATTCGAAGACACACAGAGCACAGCTCCTGACTCTTCGGTTTAGTCGTTCCCGGAGCTGAACACGCTCTCTCGACGATGCATTAACCGCTATACACTACGAGACTCTTTCGGTTCACTCGACGACCCACTTGGCACTCGTTGCCCGGCTGTCAACTCGATCGACTCCGCACGGACTAACTCGCTATCACAGGCTTCACTGACGAGACACACTCTCAATACTACTGACTGACTGCGGACCAGCAGGGTTTATATAGCTTTCGGCTTGTGTTCCAGAACATTCTGTGCTAAACCGGTAAGAATTCGTTCCAGAAGGTTCTCCATCAGTCCATTGTATATCGCCAATTTTGTAGCCAAATGGGCGGTTTCTCGCCAAATGTGGCAACCCTTCCTTCCTTTGACATTTTGTGGCAATCCTAAAACTGCTTTGCGGGGAAGCCATATTAACGCACCTGTACATTTCGTAACACTATTTTTGATGGAAGAAGTACGATAGTGACCTTCCTGAAACAATTAGAGACTCACCTTATTCAGTTCCAGAAGTACAGAATATCACCGCATCAACCGCCCCGCAAGAAAATTTTATGAAGTTGTGAATGGTATGTTGGAAAGTCATCTGTAAACTAGGCAGTTCTGACCAAAGGTTCCTGGGTGGAATTGCGCTAACCTTATCGATTTCATGAGGCACTATTCGATCCTTGAAAAATAGCATTGCGCGGGAAACGATACACAATAATTTCGTTGTGTAGCCGGTGATGTTGAAGGAGTTTACGAATGACAAAACGTCAAAGTCACTTTGCAAAATCTTAACACTTTGTAAAATGTCGATAGATAGCGCAATTTAAATACAATTGAAGTGACTCTTATCGATAGACATAAGGATAATACATTCAAAAGATTTCATACACATTAAAACCACAGTCGTGAAATAGAAATACTTACTCTCAGAGTAATGAATTGCTGCAGTCGAATTGCTTATTGGACTTTTATACAATATCCAGAATTTCCCGTCTTCGGGATCGTTGGTAATTTTCGCTATTTCATAAACGTACATTTTCCCGGCCACTCGTTTACTTTTGAAACTGAAAAAGACAAAGCATATTGACTTCATCTATAATTACATTTTGAAAAAGCATTAAAGAAATTTCATTAAAAATACTGTTCTCTTAAACACTAAGTTGCTTATTCTTTCTAAATGCTTAGAATTTTCTCGATTATTTCAGATTGAACTTTACCATTCGAAAGAAACAAATATGACGATAATTTAAAAATGACGTTTTCTTAAAATCTCTATCACGAAGGCATTTATAACGCATATAGCTAAAAAATGTAGATAATTTAAATTTTGGTTTTGATCACATACTGCCTTTTATTTTTTCGATGCACGTGCTGCAAACTTATGATGTCATCAAAAAGAAAGATGCAAACTAGAATTCGGGAAGCTTAAAATTTTACGTCAACTTTTCCGGCAAACACTACTCACAGTCAAAAACACATTTCTTATTTCTGTTCCATGTAGATTTTATTTCATATAGATTTGACATTTATTCCATCCTCCCTTTCTTGTAATATGCTGTTATGCTTTTTAAAATTTTATATGTTATTTAGTGTTGGCAGGTCATTTCGTAGGTTTGAGAATGCAAAAGTATCTTTTACCTCTCAATTCATAGCTAACTGCTTTTCCGTTTTATTCTATTTTAGCTCTCAAGAAAGTTTTCATAAGGAATTTTCAGTTTCTAATAGCAATATCAAATTCATTCATCGCTCTCGATATTCTTGATATGTTACTATATTAAAAATCTCATGTGTACATCACATGACTTCCTTTTACAGAATATTAAAATATACGCATTTTTTCTTGCATTTCATTTAAAGTTATTGGATTAAATTAAATCTGCTTCCCCGACAGCGCAAAAAACACAACAGAATAAATGCATTCTTTAAAATTCACTCTAGTATTTGTTTACCATAGCGACACTCTGGCGCTAGATTCACTTAACAGTATTATATTTTGTTCATATTACAACTCAGAATGCACAAAATTTACATCATTTAAAGAATAGAATTATCTAATCTTTGCCACATGTTCTATTCAAATACTATAATAAAGCTAGAATGATGTATAAAAGAAATTAAGCAAACAAAACAACAAAGAAACAGTTTTTCCCAGACGACTGTGTATTTCTCATTCAATTAATTCAGTTTTCACTTCGCGACAAGGCAAAAATACATTAAAAACTCAAAATATCTGTATTAAAAATTACAAAGTAAATCTTAAACGCTTATTTCCTCGAAAAAATTCCAGAAAGGATTAAGCATGATTTAAATATTAAAAGAAGGCGTTATCTTTGTTGTTACGAAGATAAGTTTCTCTAGATTGGCAACAAATCCGCTATCCTGCTGTTTCAAATGTAAACAAGCCATTAAAAAAATTATTAGGCTTAGTGGTCCTTAAACAACTTTAAAATTGTTGATAATTCTAAACATATTGCATACAGATTTACTAAAGGCATAAAAACCTTAACCGGAAGATAAAAACAACATAATTCAATCATTTTTAAAGCAAATAATGTACAATTTACAAACATATAAGAGTAAAGAAACTGAGATCACTGAGCTGGGTAACAGAGTGGATATATATATATATATATTATATATTTATATACGTTTGGTGCGGCCGATTGCAACCAAAATACGAGGTGTATATCTACATGTTATAGCAGTCCTATATACAAAATTTCAACGTTCTGAGGCTACTCGTGTTTGAGTTATGCGAGATACGTACATACATACGTTCGTACAGACGCCACGAAAATTTCTCTTCAAATTTCATTTTAAAGCAGTTTTATAATTTTTTTGGAGGAAACGAGTCTTGTATTCTGTCCTTACGTACAGATATCACGCAAAACCATCGCTAAATTGCATTCGATAGCTGTCAAAATGGATATTTTCGTTGAAATATGCTGCCTAAAACTTTTCGCCATTACAATACTTCCTTTTTACTTCGTACAAGGAAGAAAAAATGAGTACCTTAAATTCTGTTGAGAATCGTTAATTAAACTATATTTAAGCAAAGTGACATAGGTTGAAAACCCTAGCAGTTGATTAGTTTTAAAGTGCATACCAAGGGTCGGCAACCTTGTTGTTGTGGTGTGCCAAACCAGTCTACCAATACGATTCAGGGTGTCGCACAGTAGAAATATTTGAAACATTTCGATTGATTCCCTTGGCAACGCATGCAGAGTTAGAAATATAGAACAAGAATACAGATTTAGAGTTTTATTATATATTAATTATGTACCATTTAAACATATTTATTAACATAAAACTAAAATATATATATATATATATATATAACTATTCCTTCAATATAAATAAAAAAATAAAATATACGTACAGTATTACGTATTATGTATCTTTCAAACATAGTTATAAAAATAAAAAATAACTGACATAAAATATATGTATTCCTTTAATAAACAAAAATTTTAAATTTTAATGGAAACCTCGACCTTGTACCTCTGTACTTGATATCGCAATATCAGGAGTATAATTTGTGACCATCAATTTGACTCGTGGTTCTGAATATTTAATTGTTAAACAAATTCTCTGTAGACACAAAATACTTTTTTATATTATAAAGTATTTCTCCCACTTCCCTAGCGCGCCTTCGTGGTGTAGTGGTTCTGCACTCTGAGCCGGTATTCCAGAGGTCCGTGATTCGATTCCTGGCGAAGGCAGTTGCATATTTTTCATCTTTTCTGCTTCAATTAACCTAATGACTCTACAAGTGGCGCCCGAACTAAAAGGGTTGGGGATGATGATTCTCCGCACCCAGGATTTGGCGACTAGGTCTCCTAAAACCCTAGACACCCTTTAAAAAGGGGAGTATATAAGGTATTTCTCCCACTTCCCTAGCGTGCCTTCGTGGTATAGTGGTTCTGCACTCTGGGCCGGTATTCCAAAGGTCCGTGGTTCGATTCCCGGCGAAGGCGGTTGCATATTTTTCATCTTTTCTGGTTCCAATTAACCTAATGACTCTACAATACATAGATATGTGGAACCAAACGCGTAAGCCCGTGCAATTCTCTTCAAACAATTAAATCTCTCTGTCACTGACATCCAACAACTTAAAGTAGCTATCGATTTATGGTTAGAGGTATTTTCCAGATTTTTTTGTATTTCATAAGTTTTGCTATCCGTAATTGGGAAGATTTTAGTTCAATTAGTTCCATTTCAAAATGAGCAACTTCCATCCACTCCAAAATTGACAAATCGAATGGGATGATTAATAGGTTCATTAAACCTGTTTTGATTAAGAAGGAAAGTATAGGCATACAAGCTTCAAAATCGTTGCATCTTTTGAAAAATTGTCCCTTAATGCTTCAACGTAGGTTTGAAGTTCACCTTTGTCTAAGGTCGATGTATTTGCAAGCGCTTTACATTTGGTAAGAATTTATAGATACAAGTATTAATATCACGGAAAAATATATATAATTTTGTAGCAAAGTCTTTCCAACATTCAAAGAGTTCAAGTACTGTTTGGCCTTTTCCTTGTAATCTTTAGTTCATCGTGATTTAGTTATATCAGTTAAAAACATTAATTTGCATAACCATTTATTATCGTTCAATTCGGGGATTTGTTGTTTCTTTTCTTTAAGAAAAACGTCAGTGTGTTCAATTCATGACACATACTTATTCCAGACATTACCTCGACTAAGACAATGAACCTGGTTATATTAGGGAAGATCCACATATTCGCTTTCCATTTCTTCTAAAAAAGATTTAAATTTCCTGTGTACCAATGAAGAACAAGACACTATGAATTAACGTTTTTGCAACAGTGTTCATTTCTGAAATTAAGCGCCGTGACGAAATTTTCTGACGAGTAAAAACATTCCTGGTGGGGCAGAGGGGAGAGGTATTGTCTTTTGCGATTACTTTGCCTTTTCCTGATAACTTTGCAAAGTGATGTAGAGTGTCACTGAAAAATGTACCGAGCGCCAAACTCAGTCCGCGTGACATAGGTTGCCGACGTCTGGTGTACACTGATTAAACAGACGATTTTAACAGAGCTTTAAACTAAAATGCTGAAACTCATATTTTTCTTTCGATTTAAAAATGCAAAAAGTAACAGAAAATTAAACTCGTATCCAAATTTATCTTTAAGTACCCCTATGCAATGATATTCCGTCAAATATTCAATTGATATAAAGCATTTTTCTAGAAATTTCAAGACATTATCCAAATAAAAGTAATCAACCGGATTCTGATACGCAAATCATTACGTTGCATCATCTAACGACGAAGTAATTGCTTTGCGCAAAATTAACATTTGAGTGAATTTTTGCAATACATAGTTGGCATCATTGTGTAAGGTCTCAAAATGGTTTGCTATAGCTCCGAAGTGAAAGAATTTGTGAAGTGGCTAGTAATCGGTCGTTTCAAAGCAGGACAAACAATTATCCCCCATAGCACAAAACATCCTCAGAATGTCCTATTTAAGTTGCAATATCTCGGGACATACTTAGGATGTCCTGAGTATATTGATTCACAGATGTCCTGAGGACATCGTAATGTAACATCCTGAGGATGTCTTATTTAAGTCGCTATGTCCCGGGATATGAGAGGATGTCCTGAAGATGTTGATTCTCAGATGTCCCGAGGACTTCACCAATTTCACATCCTGAGGACATTCATACTGCATTGTCCGGAGCACTTCGGTTCTCAAACATTCTGAGGATATTTGTTCTCAAATTTATCAGTTTTAGTTTTTTGACATTGCACATCGGAAACTTGCACATTATTTAATTTTCATATGTTATAATTCTAAAGTCAAGTTGTTTCTAAATGCTGTACATTAAAAATATTGATATGATTGATAATTTATTCTTGTTATTTTGTTATTAATTTTAACTGCTATTTTTTTCTGACGTTTTTAAAAATTTATTTAGTCATGAAAAAGATTTTTTTCAATGGGTTAGCATTTTCTAGAATATTTGCTAAATTCCAAATAACATATATTTTTTTATAAAAAATGTATAAATTACATGTATAATTACTTACAGATTACAAACCCTAC